GAAACTAAAGCTGATGCTCTCCGTGTTTTTTCCGTCGTCTCCGTTCATATGTAAATTGCACAAGCTTATTTTGTCCATTAGATCAAAAGATCTGGAAAAAAAACTTCCCTCAAAGAAATCAGGACAGAAGTGGTTGAAAGTGGACAAAAGAAACAGATTAAAATACCAGGTGTAAACAGGTATGTGTATCGCTTGTCCACTTGTGTACCGAATGACCAAAACGCATCTTAATGAAAGTTGGAAACAGGGCCTTAGTCTGGAGGAGTCCTGAGATATAGTGTTGAAGGCCGAAGTCCACAAACAGGATCCTCGCATAAGTCCCTTGTTTGTCCAGATGTTGCAGGATATAAATGGTAAATGGTAAATGGACTGCATTTATATAGCGCTTTCACTGACCCAATGGCCACCAAAGCGCTTTACAATTTGCCTCACATTCACCCATTCACTCACTCATTCATACACCGACGGGCAACATAGGACTGATATAATGCAGTCCTATGTTGACTGCATCATCCACTGACCTGTTTGCCGATGAGCAGGGGGTCCAGCAAACTGCAGGGGGTCCAGCAAAGGTCCTGTGATGTCCTTTAGGTGTGCCAGCACCAGTCTTTCAAATGACTTCATGACCATGAGATTGACAGGTCTGTAGTCAATTAAGGCCCCATCCACACTACTGCGTTTTAGTTTAGAAACGGATATTAAAACGAATACGATCTCCGTCCACACCAGCATTTTAGCTGCGTATTAGAATTGATCTCCGTCCACATTAAAACAACTAAAAACGCGGATCACGTGACCATTCACCAACACTGGGCATGCGCGTGCCGGTGTAAACACAACTTCATTGATAAAATTATCCCACCATGCTCTGGGTTAACCCCAAACCGACGCTCCATGTACGGTCAACGCCGCCGCTGCACACGGGAATTGTCACAGATCACTCGAATAATAGCTTGACTCCGGCGCATGTAGGCAGTTATTAACCTGGCCCTAGCCAGATGAATTTCGCTTCGCCTAGCTTCACTCACATCCATCTGGAACGGATCCATTGAAATTGCGTTTCAGAAGGCTGGGCCTTATCAAAAATCCTTGCATATGATTGGATAAGCCACTTGTCTGTCATCTTTATCGACGTGCTATTTCAACCACTCACACCGAAGCCAACCCGTGACGCTGAAGAATCCGGTCGGGAGAAGGCACTGATCTATATAACATCGTTTCCACCAACAAAAGCCTTAAGAGCCGTTCTCTGATGTTCTTTTAATGAAACAATATTAGGTAGATTGGACAACACGGATGAAATAGCAGCATCAATGTTAACGCTTGTTTCCTCGATGCGAGCCGCCATTGTTGTCTGAATCAAAACAGTCTCACGGTCGCTTCTCCACTACGTCACATCTATGAAACTCCCGCCCTGCGTCCTGATTGGCTAAACCATAAAGTTGGTTGGAGAAATCACTCTCAATGGAAGAGGTTCCAGATGGATGTGAGTGAAGCTAGGCGGAGCGAAATTCATCTGGCTAGGGCCAGGTTAGGCAGTTATAGCATTGTAAAATGCAGAATTTACTTGTACAACAGCTGCTAGCAAAGATATACGCCATGACTGATGACACCCAATCATAGAGCCGAGCGTGAGCCTCTACTACGTCATCGTTGCTAAAGTCCTCCGTTTGGACCCGTCTACACTAAAACGCCCTCCGGAGAATCAAAACGAAAAACGGATCGGCAGCGTTTCTAAACTTCTACGTTTTGGGTCTCCGTTTTTGCCGTTTTAGTGTGGACGGGAGGTGCAAACGTAGCAAAAGGTCTCCGTTTTTAAACGAAAACGCAGTAGTGTGGACGGGGCCTAAGTCCCGTTATTTGGGGGGATGGGGATGATGAGCAGGAAGGGACGTCGCACAGCTCCAGTGATCTGTGGAAGATCTGCGACAAGATGAAGGCCAGCTGGACAGCACAGGTTTTTAGACAGGCTGGTGAGACACCGTCTGGGCCTGGTGCTTTCCTTGTCTTCTGTTTCCTGAAGATCCGATGCACATTCTCTTCACTGATCTGAAGTGCAGGAGGGGGGAGGGGTTGCTGGAGGTGTTGATGGTTGTGCAAATAGACCATCAGAGTGGGTGTGAGGTGAGAGACTGGGATTTTCAAATCTGCAGTAATCATTCAGGCCGTCGGCCAGTGTTGATTCCCTACAGAATTGGGGGACATTGTCTTGTAGTTTGTGATGTCGTTCAGGCCTTTCCACACTGACACAGGGTCGCTGGCTGAAAACCTGTTTTCCAGCTTTTTAGACCATAAATCTTGTTTGTCAGTGTGTTTTTGGCCTGATTGTACAAGATTTTGTCCCCATTCCTATAGGCTTCCTATTTTCCAATTAGCCTATTCCAATTCTTTGAACGGAGTTTTGCTGAGAACAAATGGTTTCTGAGAATAGTGTTTTCAGACATACTAACTTACTTTTATTGAGTTTTGCATTTAAATATATATTTAGAGATGATCAAAAACTAGGTTTTTTTGGGCAAAGTTTAGATTTTTTGAAATCTTGATTTGAAGTGTTTTTTTGCATCATGATTACAGTCTAACCAGAAGATAGAGAAAGCTTTTTGTTACTAATAATTTAATTCAAACATCAGAATTCAATTAAAAATGTAACAAAAATGAACAGGAATCCTTAATCAGAACTCGATTCATCTGGTTTAGATCTGATTTCAACCTCTTCTGGATCAACTTACTGGTAAATAGTCTCAAACTCCTGTCTGTGTGTGTGTACAGTATAAGTGTGTATGAAGAGTTCAGATGCAAAAGCCTCTAAAAGCCATCTGAAATTTTCTTCTAAAATGATCATTTTTATCAAGCTCGTATATTTAAATTCAGTAATTTCACTTAAATGACAATTAATGGGTAATTTTTCTTGCCATTCAAGTAAAATTATTGAACTTAAATATACGAGCTTGATAAAAATGATCATTTTAGAAGAAAATTTCAGATGGCTTTTAGAGGCTTTTGCATCTGAACTCTTCGTATATTACACCCAGAGTGGGTGTGTCTGTTTTGCATGTTTGATGTTTTAGAGTTTCACCCCTTTACTGCTGTGTGCTTTATTTTTGAATTGTGGCAGTCATTTCCAATGGCGGTAATTTTTAACCGCGAATGTGACAATTTATTTATTTATTTTTTACATCCATTTAGCTTTTCGATCACAATCACATAGCGAGTGCCGCAAAAGTCAACAAGTTTCATACCATTCCAGTGAAGTTAAAATTTGTAAAAATTAAAAAAAAAAATATTGGGGGGTCTAAATTGACCAAGTAACACCAAGGGTTTCATTTTATTTTTGTCCTGACACTGGTGGGTTGCCAGTTCTGGGCACATTCACTGTTGTTCCATTTTCTCTCACACATTTAGTGATGACCTTCACTGCATTTCAAAGTATATTCATTGTGTTAAAAAATGTATTAAATATGTCTGGTTTCTAAGAACCTTCAGCATTCATGGAACATTTGTTTTTGTCTTTATGATTACAGATTAGAAAGTAGAATGTTTCTCAGACACAAGTGTATTTATGAAATTAAATGCAGTACCTCAGCTGCAGACTTCAAGTGGACTCTTGTCAAGCAATTACAAGTCACTGAAGTTATGCAATAGCTTTTGAATTCTATCTTTTTTTAAATGAATGTGCTTGTGTTATAATTAAAAAAATTCTTATCAGAAACATGCTCTGGCCAAGCTCAGACATTTAAACTTTATTAATTATAACTTGATTAGTAATACAAAGAGCTAGCCATTGCGTAGAGAGCGATTGACAGTTGGCTTATACAAAGATAAATTTGGTCAATTTTCATGAAATCAAACCAATTTGAGATAAATCAAATGACTCCACAACATAACAGAATGCATCAAATACATTGCCAATACTTACTGAATCATGTGCTGCTGTTGTCCCATTAAAATTATGTTATTTCGTAAAAGATGATGTCATTATGGTACTGGCTTTTGTTAAAGGGATAGTTCACCCTAAAATTCTGTCATCATTTACTAACCCTCATGTCATTCAAAACTCGATAGACTTTTGTTTGTCTACGGAACAACTAAAGATATCAACTAAAGATAACGTCATTACATTTTTATTAAACCACTGGAGTCAAATAGCTTTTCTATGATGCCTTTATGAACTATACTTGGAGCTTGAAAGTTTTCATTATATAGACTTTGGATGGATGGATAGAAGATGGATCTCTTTGGTAGGTTATATTAGAATATTTATTCTGAAAATGACGAAAGTCTTGTGGGTTTGTAACATTTGGGTAAATATTTAATGACAGAATAAAATGTTTTGGTAAACCCACCCTTTAAATGGATGATAGAAAAGACTAACATGATGGAAACTGAAATTGAGAAAATAGGGAAAAAAATATAAATTAAATTGAAATTGAAATAAAATCACCAATTAAAACTATAAAAACATGTTTGAAACATTTTAAGGAACTGGATAAAAATTAAGAAATAGCGGGAATATTTCTTAATGAATTGCCAGTTTTTCCATGTTAGAAGTGAGTGCACCAAGGGACAAAATCTAAACAGCTCACAATGATTTAAAATGTAATCCTATGTCACACTTAATGGTAATATTGGGTTACACTTTATTTTAAGGTAACGTAGTTACATTGTACTTACTCAAATAAGTACTGAGTAATATTAATTAACTACATGTACTATACTTACTATAGTTACGGTTAGGGTTTGGTTTAGGGTTACTTGTAATTATGCATAATTTACTGTTATTACTACAGTAAGTACTAAGTACATGTAGTAATGTGTAACTACTTCACCTTCAAATATACTGTGATGAAGGAAAACTAGGATTTATTTATCTAGTATAATATTTATTCAATATATTGAGACATATACTGCATAATGACCCTCACACGAAGACTCTAAATGACTCGAGAAGTTCAACATAAAGTGAAACCCAGACTTCAACTAACATGTGTTTCCTCTATCAGGGTGAGTGCTCCCAGAGATGCTTCAACATCTTTGTGCTGGAAACGGTGTGTGTGGGCTGGTTCTCCCTGGAGTTCCTGCTCCGTTTCATCCAGACACAAAGCAAGTGCGTGTTCTTGCGCACACCCCTCAACATCATCGATGTGGTGGCCATCCTGCCCTATTACATCACTTTGATAGTGGACTCACTGTCTGTAGGCGACCGTCCCACCGGCTCAGGAAACAACTACCTGGAGAAAGTGGGATTGGTCCTGCGAGTTCTTCGAGCGCTGCGGATCTTCTACGTGATGCGTTTAGCACGTCACTCTTTGGGGTTGCAGACGTTGGGGTTGACCGTACGCCGATGCACTCGAGAGTTCGGACTGCTCCTGCTGTTCCTGTGCGTCGCCATGGCACTGTTCTCACCTCTGGTCTTCCTGGCCGAGAGCGAGTTGGGCGCCAAGCAGGAGTTTACCAGTATCCCTGGGAGCTACTGGTGGGCCGTCATTTCCATGACCACAGTTGGATACGGTGACATGGTTCCACGCAGCATTCCTGGCCAGGTGGTGGCACTCAGCAGCATCCTGAGTGGAATCCTGCTCATGGCATTCCCAGTCACATCCATATTTCACACTTTTTCACGCTCCTACCTGGAACTAAAAGCGGAACAGTGTCGGGCCACACGGCACAAGCCCGATTCACAAGACAGCACCAAGTCCCAAAACAGTGAGGATTCACAGGACACTGACAGTTCGTTACATGGAATCACAGAGACCGCTGCAGTCAGTGCGCACCATCGCAGATCTGTGGCTGTGGCAAGTCAAGGAGTCCCACAGGTCAGGCGATCTCTAAAGTCATAATGCAAACAATTAACTAAGACTTAAGAAAAATCCCACGTACAAAGACATGCTACAGGTGAGCGGCCATATATAGTACCTGTTTAAGCAGGTGACTTGACAATAATAGACTGGGAAAGGAACATTAAAATGGTCGGGTTTGTTGTCCAAAGCACAATTCTTTAAGGAGTTAGTTCACCCTAAAATGAATATTCTGTCATCATTTACTCACCATCATGTTCCAAATGCATGACTTTCTTTCTTCCATGGAACACAAATGGAACTGTTGAAAGTGAATGGAGACTGGGTCTATAAATTCCAAAAACAATTTAAAAAACACCATATGACTCATGGCACCCTTATTCAAAGCCTTCTGAAGCCATATGATAACTTAGTGTGAGAAAAGATGCAAAATGTAAGTTATTTTCCCCCGACTTAGTAGCTCTTAAATCTCACTTTTGATTCAGAATTAAAATGTGTCATGCCAGGTTTGACATCAGTGACACGAAACATGTTGTTGCGTGTATCATAAACCATCATGTCAAGCCATTTGAATAGGTGTAACTACTGGTCCTACTCACACAACTCTGGTTTTTCGAACTAGCGTCAACCGGCATGGGTGGCAGGTCCATTAACAAAGACACTAAAGACTACAGCCTCTTGAGGCCAGGGGAGTGAGGTTTACTTGCACAGCTGACTCCGTTACATTTACAATGTAATTGGTCTTACTCTCACCACTTCAGAGCGGGATTTGAACCAGTATCAACTGGCATAGGAGGCAGGTGTCCTAAAAAGGCTGAAAGCTTCTGCCCCTAGCTTGCCGCTTGTGGCTAAGTGAGTGAGATTAAACCGCAAAGCTATCTACTAGCTGGCCTCCCTTATATTTACACGTATAAACCTCACACCCATTGGGGTCACAGCAACAATGCAACTGGTCTTACTCCCACCGCTTCAAAGCGGGATTTGAACCAGTGTCAACTGGCAGCGTTAACAAGTACACCAAAAGTTGCTACTCCTAGCATGCCTCTTGAGGCTAGAGGAGTGAGGTCTACCACCCGCCTAAATCTCACTCTCATCTGGGTCACGGCACCAATGTAAATGGTCCTACTTGCACCACTCCGAGTGGGATTCGAACCAGTGTTAACCAGCATGGGAGAAGGGCTTGCTAACAAGGATTTTAAAACTAGCAGCCCATAAAAAAAATGTCTAAGGTCAGGGAAGTGAGGTTTACCTGCACAGCTCTTAATAGCTGCCCTATTTTATATATGCAGCAGTTCTATTGAGATTTGAGAGCTCAACTGCATTTGTCCCCATTCACTTTAATTGTATAGAAAAAAAACTGCATGAACATTCAGTTAAACATCTCCTTTTTGTTCCACCGAAGAAAGAAAATCATATGGGTTTGGAATGGCATGAGAGTGAGTGATGATTGATTTTTATTTAAGCTCGTGTACCTGGTAGATGGATGCTCCTACCTGTGAAAACTGTATGACTGTGAAGATTGACATTTTATTTTGCATCCACCTTTAAGGTAAAATGAGTTTTTCTCTGGTGTAAGAGCATACATTGTGTTACACTGTTCAAAAAAGGCTATTGAACTTTAATTTATGCTACTATATAGCTGGTTTGCAATAACTATGTTTATGAAAACACATTTCTGTATAATTCTGCTTTTAGATGCCATAGTCTCAGGATCTGCCGGTTGTAATAAACACAGTGAAATACCCTTTAAAAGAATAAAGGTTTCTTATTTTCAAATTGTCTTGAGTGATAGCTGGTTTTGTAGGATATACTGTATATGTCATTTTTAATTAGAAAGGAAAGTCTCAAACTCAGACCGACTTTCAATATTAGGACAGATGGAATTACTCAACCAATAATGTAAAGAATGTGAAGCAAAATAATTTCACTACTAAAACAATACTATAAGTACCTTGCTGTATGTTTTGGACATGGTACCATGGTATTTTTGAAGCAACTTGGACTGCCATGTACCATGGTATATGATTTTCGTAATCCTTCGGTAGCATGGCATTACCATCTGATCCCGTCAGATTATCATGGCTGGGTGTTGAAATATTCCTGAGATAAGAATTTAGTGTGTTTAATGAGTCCAGAATTGAGTCCTGTCCAAACTGAATCTATTCCTATAAGCGATTAAATGTATGACAGAGGGTCAGATTGTTGTGAAGACCTCATAACATTGATCAGTGGTAGATACATCTATATTGATTCCCCTGAGAGCCCTGTGCTCATAAAGGCATTGAGACCTGCCAGTACAAACACTGCTATAATGACCACAGCTATAATAAATGCACTCTCAGGTTTCAATTTGAATGAAACTCGTTCAATGCCTGTATTTTATAAATACGGGCTCAAATGTTCACAGCCTGCGAGACTATAAGCTGACTACTGAGCAATAACGCTCAAATCATTATACACCACAGCCACTTGATTAGAAACTTGATTTTTAAACTGTCATTAATGTCACAACAAAATTATGAGATTTTTTGTATTGGTGGTAAATGTGAATATGGATTAACATTTTTAAATGTCTGAATTTACAATAGCTTGATAATGGAACATCAAATACATCTTTGGAGGAACCTGACGGCAAAATATTTTAAATTACTTTGAAATAAATAACTAAACATCTATTAATTGAAATGCATATATGAAATAGCAATATCCAAACAGACCTCTTTTTAAAAAAAATGTTTATTAACAAAACTCGCTATAAAAAGTTGCGTTGCATTGCATTGAAAATATGAGGAGTGACCAACAGTATCCATCCTAACACTAACAGAACATTTGGCTAGACAGACACTGAACAGAACCTTTAACAGAACAAGAACCTTTAACAGAAGACAGTTTAAAATAATGGCAATATAGATACAAAAACTAAATAATATAAACCAGCTATAGTATCAAAATACAGCACAAAGAGAAACAATATATATATATATATATTTAAACGAAGTTGAAGTCAAAAACATTTTAGAATCAACCAGGTAAAAAAAAGACAGAATAAGATAGAAAATAGAAATAAATAACAGCAATAGCAATAAAAAGGGATTTTTATCTAAATTGGGAGAGTTTTTATCGTAGATAGTCTTTCATGTTTTTTTTTTGTGATTAAGGAATCTGGATAAAAAATAATGTCATGACATTTGGACAAAGCAAGAGTGGAAATATCACGCCAAAAGGCCATCAATTGTGTTAAACTATTCCCCATTAAACAATTAAACCTGTTTACCTATATAACATTTATAAGCAGCATCTCACTCATAACACAAGAATTGTTTACTGGCATGTGACATTCTGGACTATAACTACTGAACCAGTACTAATCTGCAAAATAATCATTTTCTTAAAAAAGTATTTGTCAAATTTTCTAGTAAGACAAAACTGGAAAAAAAAAGTTTTTTTTAAAGCATAAATCTTTAAGCATTAGCAAAAACATAATAATAAGTAAAAAAAAATCTTTAGGTAATTTTACTGGAAAATTACTGACTTGAAGAAAGATAAAAAAAAAAAATCAATTAACCCCCAAAATGCCACAAATACATTGTTAAAGTTTTTTAGAGGGTCAAAGGTCAGTATATGAATCTGGTAATTTCCTAATTTGTCATGCTAACTAAAATGATTGCACGCAAATGAACTTGGACTGCTATTCATATCTCTAAAAATAACATTTGGGGGAATACATTTCATCAAGTCTTGTAGATTTGTGAATTGTATGAGGACTGTCTTCTACTATTAAAAGGAGAGTGTTTTTTTTGGTTCAAATAGACACAGGGCTCTTCCTGTGATCTTCATTTGGCCTTCACTGCATGAAACACTACAGCAGGCTACTGAGGTAAAAACTTACCCAAATAAAACTACACTAACTGTATTAATCTCTTATAACAAAAGCTTTGTACATTCATCCATCTAATGTCAGATACATTTCTGGTTATTCCGAAAGTCTGTAAGGCAAAAGTTTTCATAAGCATGAATGTTACCCTGGGCTGGTGTGTATATACAGTATATGTAAATGTGTAAATAGAACTGCATATCTTTATGATATTGCATGTAAAGGTTGGTTCTACTAATAGTTTTACAGTAGCACCAAAAATAATCAGAACACTTAAGCAACACTTACAGTATGAATGTCATTTCACTGCATAAAATATATATAAAAAGGTGCCATTAATTTTATGAAAAGATAACAGAAATTGTAAGAAAAGCTTTAGCATCATAATTTGATGTTTTATATTCTAATGCAAGGACATTCAAACATATTTAAGTGTGACTTAAGTACCCAAATACTTTTAGGGGAGACTGTACAAAGATCTTGTATGTATGTATGCATACATATACATTGTAATATAGATTTGAGCACATTCCTTAATACATGCGGGTGTTTCATAGGGCCTTGGCGCTGGTGGTATGTGTGGTGTGTGAGGGTTTCTGTGGGTAGAGGCTGTAATAGTACACTTGGAAGAGAATAGCGACGTCCACGCACACCTGAAGGAGGCCGCAGATCCAGAACTGCATGGGAGCCTGAGTCAACAGGAAGTAGCCTGTCTTGAAAGTGTCTCCACTGGTCCACATCAACACCATCTTAATGCTGGAGGCACAGGAAGTGAGAGAGAGTTAGAGTCAGAGAGTGTTATTAAAGTCTGGAGATGTGAGAAAGAGAGGCAGATTGATCAAAATCACTGAAAATGAGAGAACTGTCGTCAAGTGCAGGATGAGTTACGCTCAAAGGTTAATACTATAGGGTTTGTTAACCTCAAGTTTGAGCAATAATGATTGATGAGGTTGCCTCATCTAATTAATATACATAATCTGTCCCAATTGTGAGAGAACATGAGAGCAACACTAGAGTGATATGGGTTTGGACTTTATAACCACCTCTCTTAAAGCTGAGAATGAAGTTTTTAATAATGTGTCATTTGTCGGGAAAGGACAGCTGTAACATGGAGCCTGGACAGTAACAGTGTTCTCAGAGACCGGCTCCGTCTGCTCCACATGTGGGTCTCGTGCTCTCCTCCACGCTTTGTTTAGAGGAAAAAAAAAGCATAAGATCACATGTCCAGTTTTGAAATTATTTACTCAACATCTTCCTTCCATGGAGCACAAAAGGAGAAATTTGAAGAATGTGTTGGCCACACTTTTCCATTGAACTCTTTCTACTATATTCCTACTCTTCTGAAGGCATGCGATTGCTTTGTGTGAAGAGCAGACAGAAATTTTTGGTCATTATTAATTGATAACCCTTGTGAAAAGTATATATTTAAGAAATTGTTCTTGCAGATAATAAAAGGCCACTTAAACAGGGTAGGCGATTTGTTCCAGAATTTTTTTTTAATGCTGGTTGAAAGTCTCTCCTGATAGCAATCACTAAGTTAAGTGCTCTAAATGTATTTATATGTATATACACTACAGTATATCGTCTGTGGAAGGTGTTAGGCCATAAAATGTTCATCCACTCATTGCATTTGGTCCGAATGTAATGATACGATGTCCTACCTGCCTGTCAACGCATGTATTTTCATACCTCCGCGCACCCTGCTCACGCAGACATCAGCGTGTTTCATGCTATGCAGAGTTAGACAGACGTCAGTCACCGAGCACCGCAACTGAAACACCAGCCACCTTTTACAGTTCCTCTTGAACTAAAACAATGAGCTTATACTGCGTCCACGCCCAAACTACTGTAATTTGGAAGAGGTGGAAACCCGTGACGTTATACTCGGAGCGATTCGTGACTCGCATTTATGCATTTCAATGGCAACACTATCAACGCCGAATTAATCTGCAGACATTTGTGCACTTTGTAAAGTACTTGATTATAATTATAACTGCAGTGTGTTATTCAATATTACATTGCAACTTCATCATTACAAATGTGTAATTGCAAATAATATATTTAAATACAATTTAATAAAGAAATGACATTAAAACATATTTTAGTTTACAGCAGTATACTGTTTACACCACATTTTCAATGGGTAAACTAAACAGCACTAAGTTGCATTTAATATAAATTTGAACTTTTATACATTTTAATAATTGCAATTAATTTGCAATAATGTTTTCGAAAACATTACATTCAGTTCACACTTAAAGGTGCTGTATGTAAGAATGACAGAGTGCTGAATGTAAGAATGACAAGAGTACCACATCGAAATAGGCACTGCAGTCCAAAATTCTAAATATCAGAGACCGTTGTTTCCCCCACCCCCTCCACCTCAGATAAGACGCTCACGCGGGTTGCCAGTTTGAGGACACGCAACAAGAGCGAGTGCAATTGACAACGAAAACCGAGGAGACTTACAGACTGTAAGTTAATGAGTTGATTTATCCGCGTTTTAATATACTCTCGTCTCGTTCAGAGATTTTTTAGATGGATACCGAGGCTTTTTCGGTTGTGTGGAATCTTCAATCTCTGACCAGTTTGTTTGCTCGTTTCCAAAGCTGCGATACGCGGTGTTTCATGCCAACTGGCATCCCGGGGTGGGTGAACAGGCAGTGGGCGAGATCACACAGACAAAACAAAACCCGACTGACAACACGGAACGTGTAAAATAATAAGTAAAATAACTGGCTGTAGAAGTGTTTTTCAGAGAAACGAGTATGTGAACTTAACATGTTTCCTAAATATCTGCAAACATACAGTATGATGGTATTTTTATGCTTTAGTAGAGTAAAAAAAGTTACAAACAGCACCTTTAAATATATTCTTTTAAAGCATATAATTTCCATAATAAGATATTTTAAAATGTATTTTAAACTGTACTTCTTTTTCACGAGGGAATCTTCGCTGAAACTGGATCACTGAGTTTGTGGGTTGAGATTCAGATCAGTCTGATTCAGTTTTGTGAAAATAATTATTAAGAGTGAATCATTGGAAAAAAATCCAACTCAAAATAATGATTTGTTCACAAATTGTACATTGCTACTTCTCACATGCTTGTGCCCAAATTAACTCATTGTAAATTTTGTAAATTAAAGCCATCATATGACATCAGAATACTTGGTATACGCTGATTTCACGCAGCCGCCATTTTGAAATGGCTCCGGTGGGAAGAAAACCGGAAGTCTCGCTTTTAATCATAGGAGAGTCGCGAATGCGATGGCGTATTGTTGTGTTTAATGTAGAAATTAGTTATTCTAAAAATGTACATACATTTCTTTCATACTTTAGACTATGTAGAGTGAAATTCATTTATAAATAAAACATTTTTTTTATATATAATTCAGAACGGGAAAAAAAAAGAAGCAGGAACGAACTATATACATACCCTATATTTGATATTAACATCCAATAGTGTAAATCGCGGCAGCAGCTTCAGGTTGGTAGTCCAAGCATTGTTGTCTATCTGTACTTCCGGGGTTCTTCCCACCGGAGCCTCGCTTTCGATTTCAAAATGGCGGCAGCGGGATATCAGCGTATAGCAACTGACAGTGTTGTAGTTGAGTCACCAACTGTCGAGTCCGAGTCGAGTCTCGAGTCCCAATGTTCGAGTCCAAGTCCGAGTCACCAAAGAAGAGTCCGAGTCGAGTCCAAGTCGAGTCACCATTACCTGAGTTCAAGTCCGAGTCAAAGCTCAAGTCCCGTGTTCGAGTCCGAGTCGAAATTAAGCCAAATCAAGCAACATTTTTCAGGCACTCTTTCTTGCAGCTAGAAATGTGTATGATATCACTAGAATTGCCTTTGACCTTAGTTCAAATCATTGTCAGCTGTGGCACGATTATATTTATTTGTTTAAATACATTTTTGGATGATCAGTCAACTGGAATGGATAAAGAAAACAAAAAAGAAAGCCTAATTGGACAGAGGAGGAGAAATGCATTCTTCTTGACGAATATGGTAAAAGAAAAACAATTTAGAAATTTTGAAAAGCAAACTATAAATCCCAATGTAACTGCGGCAAAAAAACAGAAAATGCAGTGCTATAAGCAGTTGTAACTCCGCAGGAAAAGAGTGGTTGCGATGTGTGACATAGTCAAGGTCGCCGTCTAGTTTGTTAGCTAAAATAAACATAATTGTGTTATTGTGTGATAAACGGGATTAAGCGCTGAGCGCGTCCGACTTTGGCTCAGCGCCAGCCATAGCACGAAAGCACAGTTTAAAGGATAATTCCGGTATTTAACACTTTGAGTCTATTTTCTAGTTTGTTTTGGATGAACTAGAGTGGTGGACTTAGAAATGTTGACGATGTCTCGACTTTTTGACTATTTTAGAATCGCCTCTGACCGCTTCAGAGTGGATGTCTATGGGCATGCTCAAACATGTCCTTAAAACAACCCTTAACGTTGGTTTTCAAAACTGTGCAACTCACCGAGTGGTTAGTGGTGTTCGTTGATGATTAAAAACAAATATATCGGCGCAATGTATGCTTTCAATCCGTGTTATTTGCTATAGTGGAACTATTTTTTCAGATACCTCACAACCGCGTATAAACTTCCGCTCGATATTTGAGTCTGAAGCATTAGCACACTCCCGGCGACAACCACTTTGCCGCAGTTGCTCAGCTCACGCTAGCCTTCTGAGAGACTGAGAACCGAGCGAAAAGACTACAACCAAATGTAAACAGACCCCTTTCCGTTTCTGGTAGCGCAGTAATATCAACGAGCACTGAGTCCTCCAGCAGACATCAATACGATTTTAAAAAATGGCAAATAAAACACGACAGAAACTGTATTTCGCTACGCTACTTGTTTTGGAACATCAACGAACACCACTAACCACTCGGTGAGTTGCACAGTTTTGAAAACGAACGTTAAGGGTTGTTTTAAGGACATGTTTGAGCATGCCCATAGACATCCACTCTGAAGCGCTCAGAGGCGATTCTAAAATAGTCAAAAATTCGAGACAGGACCCATCATCAAAATTTCTAAGTCCACCACTCTAGTTCATCCAAAACAAACTAGAAAATAGACTCAAAGTGTTAAATACCGGAATTATCCTTTAAATCTGGCAGTTGTGTTACGTCACTGTACATTCGCTCCTTACTGGTCAGCTCAGCTGCTGCAAAGCGTGCCAAAATCGAAATTGCTGATTAGATGTAGAGGAACTTATCTAGTGTTAAATGAGTGTTACGTTATCTCTCTCACGAGAATGCAGCGTAAAGTGAGCGACGTCAGTGAGTGTGTTGTCAAGCAAGGATAGCGAGCGATAGCAGTGTCTGTGAGGGAAAAATAGATCACGGCCGGTCTTGGACCCCGAAACAGGAAAAGTGTAACATCTTATATCAAATTTTTATAACCTATTTAGTCAGAAACAACGTCATTCATTTGATGAATGCTCAAGTCCGATTTTATATATTCTCGAGTCCGAGTCCAAATACTAGTCATCAGTCCGCGAGTCCAAGTCGAGTCACGAGTCCAGAGAATGGAGTCTCGAGTCGGATTTGAGTCCAGAGAATAAGGACTCGAGTACTCCATCACTGGCACATGAGTTATGTGGTTTACTTTTATGGTGATTTGTCATTTTGGAGCTTGACACCCCAGTCCTCACTTACTTTAATTAAAAGAAAAAAGAGTGACCCGGATATTCTTCAAAACGTCACCTTCTGTGTTCCACTGAAGAAAGAAAGTCATACAGAATTCATGAGGGAG